GTACCTGATGCACTTTTTTGATTGGATCACAGGCCAAGTGTCATATTGCCCTCAGCTGCGGCAAGGTTCCCGGCTTTTCCACTGGTAAAAAGCTATTGGTCGAATTGTTCCCCGCTGTCAAAAGCCATCGGTCGAATGGTTCCTGGCCATCCCGGCTGATTGGTCGAACGGTTCCCGGCTGCTCACTCTCAGTCTCATTCTTGCGCGGATTTCAAACGGTGCTTCACCGTGTGGCGGGGCCGAGAAAATCCGAGAAAGGTCTTTGTGAAAGGTCACATTCCTCCTGCTGGCTTTACAACCTGTGATGCTCTCTCACGAAGCGCCGCGGCAAATTCTGCGCGGCCCCAAGTCAGCCTCAGCTGAAGCTGCTCATCAGGGGCACGAGCAAATTTATCGGCCACAGTCAACCGCGGCTCAGCCATGATTTGCACCACTTTGTTAAAGTAAGCCTTCATGAGTGCATTTGAGCAAGATTGCCGATTGAAGCAATCAGTGAGCTCAGCAAAGACTTTGCTGAGATTTTCAGGCTCAGCCGCTCAGCCAAGAACAACAACTGGCCATGCCTGGGTTTAAGCCTTGCTGAGCGGCAATTGTTTGATGCAATTGGATTGGCTGCAAAAATAGTCGAACTTGGATGGGAACGCTTCTGAACCGGCACAACATGCTTGTGCAGGAAACGCCCTTGAAATTCCTGCGAAAGCCCCAGCCAGCTTCGCTTGAGGCTGCTCATCATCAACAGGGGTTGTAGCAATGCTAGTCTGGGGCTTGCCAGCTCGGGTGCCCGAGCTGACTCCACATATGCCCAAATCTGCACCTCGAGAGGTCTATGTGCACCTGTCCAAGTACATGCAGAATCGCCCAAAATTGAGCTGGCAAGCGAAGCTGCCTCTCACAGTTTGACAATCCGCATCCAGCGGCGTGTGAGGCCAAGCAAGGTCTTCGTGAAAGGTCACGCGAGTGCTTCCTGCTAGCCTAACACGTGCTCTCGGAAAGCGCCGTGAGGCTGCTTACCATCGCTGCGGAAGCCTTGGCCCACATCCCGTCCACTGGATGGGAGGCGGTAAGCGTTGCAGCCGACATACGCACCTCAAAAGGCAGCCAGGAAAGCTGCCACGGCCTGGAAAAGTGTTCACTGCGGATCAGGGTGTTGTTTGCTTCTAGTGTCGTGCTCCATGGTACTCCCTGCATTCAGAACCCTTCGTCCCCTGTTGCCGTTTTACCATGGGCGCTGATGCGATTGAACCGATGGAACAAATATCCCAAGCTTGGATGGGAAGGCGGGCAAACCTTGCGTGCGCAATCTGCATAATGCTGAAGCCCCTCAGCCACGCCTGGCGTTGGCAGCCAGTAGTCAATTGGCTTCAGTGAAGGCCTGTCAGCCACTCACGTCGGCCTTGTTCCTTTGGAGGGACCAATCAGCCCAAAAATCGGCTATGAGAGGAACATCGGCATAAACTGATTGCAAGCGACAAGGGGGACAATCGCTTTTGGCAAGGCTGTTGTTGTTGGACTTCCCTGCGATGTGGGTCGAACCCCACATCGCGTGCTTTGCGTCGACATGGGTCCCAAAAAGCTCAATCTGCACTGCGTCCTTGCTGCAACGCTGGAGAGGCGTGATTTGCATCAGCCTGTGCGTGCCCCAGCTTTCGGCAATGCCTGGCAAAAAGATGCTTTTACTTCTAAATTGTCGTCTTGATTCACGGTGTGTATGTGAACCATTCATTCATGAAATCATCGGATGTGCCTCAGCGGCGCCAAGTTCCCGGCGCAGCCGGCACTCAGCCTTGGATTGCTCCTGGTGGTAGGACAACGCTTCTGCTTCAAGTGCGGCGGCCACATCCTGTTCCATCGAAGTCGGTGTCCATGACAAATTGCGAGATATGATTTCAGCTGCTAGGCAACAAATATCAATGTACTTTTATGCATTCATGTATATGTCTGGGGCCCTTCGCGAATGACCTACATTTTGCGCATCAAGCCCTTGCATATGAATGATTGACTTCAAATGCATCAAAAACAATAAGAGTATGTTACAACCTTGGTTAAAACATGTTATACAGGATCCTCAAAGGGATCCTGCAACAAACTCCTGTCAAGACCCTGCAAAGACTTCAGACATAAAGGTTCAAGAGGTGATGTGTAAACAGATCTTGCACAGGAGTTTCTATAAAGATTGAGTTGCTTCAAGTGGGTCATTGGAATCAGCAAGTCGGCTCCAAACCTCACTTCCCGCATAGCGATCGTCTTCGCAGCAAATACTTGCTGGTGCTCAGGAGGGAACGAGAATATGGAATGACCCTGGAAAAACCATCCAAGTGGTTTCCTTTATCCGGGAGCATCAAGACTCGGGTCGGCGCAGTGAAAAAAACCACGCCCGGAGCCAAGCCGAACCTGGGTCCCAAGGAATGCGAGCAATCAAAGCCGGCAGTGAAGTTTCAATTACGAGTTATCTTCTTGATTGTCTCAATGAGTGTTTCTTTCTCCCTGTTATTTCGTGTGTTCTGTTCATGTATGTGTTTTTTCTTGTACGTTATTGTATTTCGCTACTTTTCTGCCGGTGTCGTTTTCAAACATCTCCTTTTCTACTTCTTTAGGTCTGTACCATTTTGGCTTCGTTTATTTACTGTCTTCTCTTTCTTTGTTCTGTTCCGGTATTGAGTTCTTTTCGTGTGGCACTTGCCTTATTTTCCATATTTATGCATTTCTGATATTGAATTTGTTCCTCCTTTATTTACTTCACTTCTTTATGTTGTTTCTTCGACTCTTTGTTTCCTTTTTGTCTTTCTTCACTTCTAACATTTGTTCTTTCTTTCTTTCTTTCTTTCTTTCGATCTGTCTCTTTGTCTGATTCTTGCTCTTTCTCTTCTCTTCTTGGTCCATATATCTATCTATCTATCTATTTATCTATCTATCTATCTACCTTGTGGGTCAAGAATAGGTACCCAACATGGATCCTTCGATGGGAACGACTAAAACCTGCGGTTCATATCCCGGTTTGATTTTGACCCAAAAATTCAAACCACTTCCTGAGTTGGGAACAAAGTCACAACGTGCGTCTACGGCAGTACCAAGACTACTCTGCGCGTGGCCCATCCTTTGGCTTCCTTTGGGTAAATCAACTAGCGCAAAAGTTTGGATTGCGGCTCGTGTTTAAGAAATTATGCCCCTAAAAAAAGCAAAACAAGAAGGGATAGTGCAAGGTAAATAAGGTAAGGAAAAATGTTCAAAAAAAGTCAAAGGTCAAAAGCAGATTTAAGGCCAACACCTGTTGTTTTCAAAGTTCCGAAAAATGTCAAAGATCAAACCTGGAGTTTCACAAGTACAGAAAAAGGTCAGGTCAAAACGTGATTTCTAAAAGGCTCAACACTTGATTTCTGAAAGTTCAAAAAGGGGTCAAAGGTCTAAAACACGATTTTCCAAAAGTTCAAAAAAAGTTCAAAGGTCAACACTTGTTTTAGCGAAAGTCCATGAAAAGGTCAAAGGTCAAAAGCTGATGCTTCACAAGTTTAGAAAAAGGTCACAGGCCAAAACGTTTTTTCCTGTTTGTTTTTTCCCCACAGTCCGTAAAAAGTTGAAAGGTCGAAAGCTGACGCATCAAAAGCTCAGAACAAGGTCAAAGGCCAAAAGCTGATTTTTAAGATGTTCAGAAAAAGGCCAAAGGTCAAGCACTTCGCTTTCCAAAAGTTCAAAGGACCACAGGCACCTAACAGAAGCGACTAAAAAAAGGACACCTGACGACCGGGAAAAATCAAACCGGTCTTTGCAAAACCAGCCTTCGTACCTATGTAAACAAAAAATCAGAAGCACGGGCCGGCTTTGGATTCCCAGGGGCAAAGGACAGTTGAACCAACGCTGGGTGGTGAACCGGTGAACGGTGGATGGATGAAACCCAGGACTTTAAAGCCGTGGTTGAAACCACGATCTTTTTCAGAAAACGAGCCACCGTGGCCAAAATATTTGGAGATATGTGGACATGAATCCCCATGTAAATGATTTGTCCAAAAGGCTCCTAGTTGAAAAATCACACGCACACCTCCGTTAACCTTCTTTTCTCATCGCCGCGTATTCTCGGGGATTCGCCGCTTTTTGATGCCTGGCAACTTTCAGCCAAGTGCGCAACAATCAAGGCGATGTTTTGGACAGCTCGCCTTTTCGCAAGCCGCATGTGTGGTGTGTCTTTTCCTCAGTTCCCATGTGTGTGTGTGTGTCTTGCTTTAGGGCACCCCCCAAAATGGCTTCGGTTTCCCTGTTGGTTTCCGTTTCATACCACAAACAACGGGTACCCTCAACAAACAAACATATTGCAACCCAAAAGAGTTCCCATGTTCAGTAAAATTTGTTCTAGCGCTTCAGGGCTGGTAGACCCAAGGGTAAACACAATAAGTCTTCGACTGATTTGTGTGTTGGCTTTGAGGCTCAGTACCCGTTCTTGGTTGAAATGGACACAGGAAAATACACCAATCCAAGAACAAAACATGGAACACCTCCCAGACCTTTTTCATCGAGAGCGATCCAAAGCTGACCCTCGCAGAACTGTCCGGGCCCAAACCCCAATCTCCAAAAACCCATTGGCCTCGCATTTTGCAAGTCCCAAAGCAGAGGTCCAGCAACTTTCAATGGCTCCGCTCCTCTGCTTACTGGCACAAAGCTTTGCCTGGGGAGAGATGTGTCAAGCGACCGCTTTTTTCAGTCGCTGTTCCTGGTTTTTGGGGTAAAGTTGGACAAAAAGCTGGGCTTTGAATCCAAAAGAGGTGCAAAGCAAAGAGATACTTTGAAAACCCCTATGCGAAATGGCACCTGCGCCACGTGGGCCACAAAGGAGTTCTTCCGCTCAGCAGGCCATCGGTCCGTTCAGCCCGACCCTCCGCAAACGCAGCAAGGGGGTCGCCATGCCCGAGAAGTCTGTACAAATTGGCAACAGCCAGGCTCCAATTCGAGGAGACCCCCAAATGGGCCACCAAACACCGATTCTCGGGGTGTCTAATGCTTCGGGGTTGGGTCTGCCATAAGCCGAAGCAAATCGATCGGAGCCTCTAACAGACCCCACTTGCAGCCGGATGCTTCTCTTGGCTGCATTCCTTCGCCTGCGCAATCGGCGCGGAGAAATCCAAGTCCAGGAGCCTTTGTGGAGGTCAGGCTGATGTCGAGCCACTGAGGTGCTTACTTGGATAGCCATTTGAGGGGTGGAATCTTAACCCTAAAGAACCGCTTGATGTTCATGTGTCTCTAGAAATTCAGGCCACCTTTGGACCGCAACCCTACGGGGCGTCCACTCTGTTTTTCAGTATGCACTTTGGTTTGGTTTGTTGAAAGAGCCAAAGGAGGACCCAAGACAGAAACGCCGAAGGACGAACCACTCGTTTATGCAGACTTTGACAAACCCTGGCGTGCAAACAAGCCGGTCCATTTGCAAAGAACAAACCTAGGAATCGGTTTCCTGTAGGTTCCATTTAAAGCCATTCAAAAAGGGTAGCGCCAAAAAACATAAACTCGGTTGCTTTCTGCTCCCCTGCTAAAAGTTTAACTTTTAGTGGCTTAATACGGAAAACCCATTAGTTGGCAAAACAGCTTTTCAGTCTTAACCATCCCTTGGCAAAATTGCAACAAAACATACATATATATATATATATATCCGTATATCTACATAATATGTCCTTTGAACACGAGACCGGTCCATGTGGCGCCGGGTTCCAGGGGACAATGCCAACGCGCGAGTCGACGCAGAGATTTGCTTTTTCGACAGGGGAGAGGGAAAATACACCTCGCTTCCCGAGTGGCACAGACAAAGCAACCAAACTTTGTGGCCACTAAATTTGTTTTCCAAACAGTTTGAAGACCAGGAACTCGGGAAGTGAGACAAATCCAGTGAAAAATGGTTTCCCTTTTTTAAAGCAAGAGGGAACATCAAAAACATCGTCTCCACCAATGGAAGAGACAACATCCGCAAGTGAGACAGCTCAAGAGTCCAGACCTGCTTCGGCCAAAAGGAAGGAGTGAAGACGGCCAAAAACGACGGCACAAACGCACACGCACAAACGTACGCATGGACGAGATACAGATTCACCTGGCAAATTCCCCAGGGTTCAGGCAGGCCACCATTAAAACAATGGCTGGGTTCATAGTTCACCACCATTTGCTTACACAATAAAGCGTCATCATCCAAATTGGGTCCTTGCCAATATTACTACGGGGATTGAAGCCTAGCGCATTGTCATACACACATGCGTGCATGCGCAGCAAGCAATTCATCCAAGACCCTGAACTCAAGAACATATCCCTACTCTAGCTGGTGATGACACTCATGAACACGTGCGCTTGGTGCTAAGCGGGAGGCGATTGGGTTACTCCAAAAGCCGTCTGTACTCTCCGATCAAAGCAGCAAGGCCAAAGCTGCTTAAACCAGTGCTTCAACCTGCCAAAAAGTAGGGGGGGTATGGTCTCTGTGTCACCAATCGTTGCCTGGATCCGAATGCAGTGTTCAGTGATCCAGAGATATGGCAGATATCTAGGCAATTTGCAATAAATCTTACCTCGTCACCTCCTTTTTAAGTAAGGTTTTGGAGTGTGCGCCTCGCCTCGTTTAATCCGTGGTCACCTCGTCACCTCGTCACCTCGTTAAATCCCTCGTCACATTGTAACTTTGTACTACAAGTCTAGCACGCGGATAGTTGCCTAAAGTGCTGAAAAACTTCTCAGGCTCCGAATAGTTTATTTTGCGCTTTGGCAGCCCCGAGCCTTCCAACACCAATGCCACGTTCCAGTACACTTCCACAGCTCCAGCTCGAAAAACTCAATTTTGTAGCACAAACCTAGTGCAAGAAGCGCGCTTCCACGCTCGTAGTACAAGCCAAGTACAAAAAAGTACGCTTCCGCAGCTCCAGCGCGAAAATCACAATTTTGTAGTACGAGTCCAGAACGCGGATAGCCGTTGCAGGCGCTGAAAAACTTTTCAAGCTCCGAAAAGTTTACTTGGCCGCTAGCTGCCTGCAGGGTCGCTTATTTTCATTCTGAGGTCTGGCAGCCCCGGATAGCTGCCTGGAGTGCTGAAAAACAACTTTACAAGCCCTGAAAAGTTTATTTTGCGTTTTGGCAGCCCCAAGCTTGCCAACAACAACGCCGCGTCCCAGTACAAGTGCGCTACAGGAAACTTTGGCAGCCCCAGCTCGCAAACACCAATATAATGTCCTAGTACAAGTCTGCTATATACTTGGAATACAATATGCAATACAGTATGGTTCATTAAAATGAGCTCTCAAAACTATTCATTCTTCCGCCGCTATGCCGTTTCCAGAAATTTCGTTCCGATTGTTCCCCACTCCAAACACACCTTCAAAAGGATCCTTTGCATTTCCGGTTGCCGCTGGATCCCAAATGGCAGCAATGTCAGAATATCTTTCCATGTGACCCTGGCCAAAGGCAAGTGGCTGGCCTTTGTTGTGTCAAAGGCTTTGCTGAGGGGTTGCCGGAAACAATAAGACTAGGGGTGCTCTGGGAAGGCTACGGGAAGGCTACGGGAAGGCTACGGGAAGGCTACGGGAAGGCTACGGGAAGGCTACGGGAAGACTATGAGAAAAAAAAACTTTGCAGGGCCCAAAAAGTTATTTTCCCCAACAATCACCTCTGACCGTATAAAATAACTTTTTAGGCCCTGAGCAGTTTTCTCCTGCTGTGGGACCCTCTCCTGCTGCATCTACGTGTGCACCTCGTTGTTCTGAATTTAGTTAAATCACCTCGCTTAAAATATTTGCTCCACCTCGCACCTCGGCTGACCTCGCTCTAAATTGCCTAGCAGATATGGTTTGCCTCATCTGCAAAGCCAGAAGAACTAATCTGCAGCCACACAAAGATTGATCGCCAAGAAAGCTGCTTTGTATTAAAACCACTTTCAGATTAATCGGTGAACCTTTCGTCCTGTGTGGCTTGTGTTTCCCCGATATTTCCACGCCCAAGGGCAAGTTCTTGACAACAATCCGCGATCAGCCCAATGTTCGCAAGGCATAAAATCCGCCGACGCTAGTCGAGCGTGTAGATGGCAGTCCACAACTTGTCTTCTCTTAGCAAAGCCGAAGGCTTTTGGGACTGCTATTTTTTGGGCATTCTGTGCTGGGTGTCCAAAACCTGTATTTTTCGTGTTTTTGGGTCTTTCGTGCTAAAAATATTGCGTTTCGCCTAGGTCTGTAGGGGGGGGAGGGTTTCCCCCGGACGCGCAGGATCTGCATCCCCAGCATCATCAGGATTGCCTTGTTGCCATGAATTTGTCTCTCTGTTTGCAGATACTCGTGGTGTTTTGCTGTTTCAAGCGATGTTGGAATTGGCCCGTTAGGGGTTTGGGTGGGCCAAGTGCAGTGATACTTTGAGGAACTGTTGAAATTTGCAAAGATGAGTGTTTTTGCAATTCCCCGCCAGTACGGAGCAGTTACTGCGAAACATCCCCTGCATTATCGTGCTTTTGGAAGTCTATTTTTAGGGTATTTGAGGGGGTTGCTAGTATCGGTGTTTGATGGTTGCTTTTGGAAAAACCTAAGTTTTTGCACTTGTTTGTGGCTAGCCGGCTGCATTCCCAGCATTCCCCACATCTCTGGTATTTCTGTGTTTGGTCAATGTTGCGTGTCTTAGAATCTTGAGCGCGAAGATTGGGTCTGTTCCTGTAAGTTGTGTGGCTGCATCCCTTGCATTTCCAGCATCCTCAGCACTGGGACATGAAAAACAGGAAAGTGCCACGAAGGCCTTGTTGTGCTTACAAAAATGGGGCCTTGCTTTTACACCCTTTCGGGGGGGTGGTTTAAAGAGTAGACCCTAGTGTTCTTCTCCTTCGTTGTTTGCATTCTCGTTAAGAGACCCATGTGACCTAGGCAAAAAACGTCTTTTCCTTACCCCAAATTCAAGGCACCCTCTCCTTCCACGTGTTAAGGTGACCTAGGCAAAAAAACGTCTTTTTCCTTACCCCAAATTCAAAACACCTCAGAGGGGCGTTGTTTGTTCTCCTTCCACAGGGGCGTTGCTTGTTCTGATTCCAGGCGTTAACAGACCCATTTGACCTAGGCAAAAAGACGTCTTTTCCTGACCCCAAACTTGCAGCCAACCTTAGAGGGGCGTCGTTTGGTATCTTTTCACTTGTTCAGAGCCCCATATGATTTAGGCAATCAAGGCACCTCAAAAAAGGCGATTTTTGTTCTCCTTCCACCGTTGCTTGTTCTCCTTCCAGGCGTTAAGAGACCCATGTGGCCTAGGCAAAAAGATGTTTTTTTCTGACCCCAAACTTGAGGTCCTCAGAGGGGCGTCATTTGGTCTCTTTTCACTTGTCAAGAGGCTCATATGACCTAGGCAAAAAGACGTCTTTTTCCTTACCCCAAATTCGAGGCACCCTCTCCTTCCACGCGTTAAGAGCTATGTGACCTAGGCAAAAAAAAACGTCCATTTCCTTACCACAAATTCAAGGCACCTCAGAGGGGCGTTGTTTGTTCTCCTTCCACAGGGGCGTTGCTTGTTCTGATTCCAGGCGTTAACAGACCCATTTGACCTGGGCAGAAAAGACGTCTTTTTCCTGATCCCAAACTTGAGGTACCCTGCAGCCAACCTCAGAGGGGGTTTGTAATCGTCTTTTTCCTTACCCGAAATTCGAGCACTCTGCAGCCGACGTCAGAGCGGCATTGTTTGTTCTCCCTCAACGCGTTAAGAGCCCGATGTGACCTAGGCAAAAGGACGCTTGTTCCCGGCCCCAAATTCGAGGCACCCTGCAGCCGACGTCAGAGGGGCGTTGTTTGCGTTCTCCTTCCACGCGCTAAGAGCCCCACTTGACCTGGGCAAAAAAAGAGAGTCTTTTTCCCTACCCAAAATTCAAGGCACCCTGCAACCGACGTCAGAGCGGCGTTGTTTGTTCTGCTTCCACGCGTTAAGAGCCCCACGTGACATCAGCCCCAGTTCATTAATAGGGGACTGTCCATTGGCATCGGCGGATCGCGTAGCGATTTCAATATAATCATCGGAATTATTGTCTTGTACATTGGCATTTTCATCGGAACACATGACTGATCAGAAGGCAACGATGGCAACGCAAACACTTGATTTGTAATGAATCCAGGAGAGGATTCATCGGACCTGTTCACTATTCAGCGGAAACCAGGGTTTGTTTTCACCAACCGTTTCCTCATGGATTTCAAGCTCCGGTAGGGGTACTTTGTGATGAATGCTGTTTCACTCTTTCTGTTTCTGGCATCAACACGTCATTGCTGATGGATCAGCGGTAGGATCCGTCGGAACATCAAGCTCGCTCCCAGGAATAAAATCATCCAAACTTAAGAACCGTTGGTGTCTAGTTTTCCACGTACCAGAGTTCCATTTTGGGCCGATTCCCGTTTTTTGCCACACGCACTTTAGTACTTTATTGGGCTGTCCTCAGATCCCCTGCAACAAAGTGATTAACTTTTAGTGGCTTTAATGGAAACCCAACCACCGTACCACTAAACCAACGAAAAAAGCTGCAAAGCTAAGGAACCGGATGGCTGGGAATTTCAAGCAGTTTCGTGTGACCCTCGTCAGACCGCTGCAAACGGCCTGCGACACCTCTGGGCGAGCTCGCCCGCTCATGCAATGCTGCCACGCCGCGTAGGTCCTCAGCGCGGTCGAAGGAGAACGGAAGCTCGGCACGCAAAGTGCGGAAGCCCGGGGTGCCTTTTTAGCCTTTGGAATATGGGTATGGGTCAAAATTAACTCAGGGGACCGCAGGCTTTAGGCCATGTGTCCATTTACCAGGCTTGCATTTTGGGGTACCTATTTTCGACCCACAGAACCCACTTGAATGGCCGTTGCCGAGTTAAAAGTGCAGCCAACAGAATTGACTCCACTAAACGGACACTTGGCTCTCAAACTATAGGTTGCCAACAACTAACTTCGACCACCCATTCGGCTGTGGGTCAAAACCAATGGTAGGTGCACCACCCATTTTAGAACCTATTTTACTGGTTGGATTGGGATGGCTTTCGACCCATGGCCATTCAGCTGAAAGGAGCTCAGGAACGTTTCGGAAGTGCCTTCCTCCGGCGATGAGCAACCTGCAACCTAAGCCACGAGCCCCAAGCATCACTGCCTTCTTTTTTTGCACTGGGAGCAGAAAAAGCACCTTTTCCCTCGGGGGTAGCGGCTTGGGCTGGGAGTCATGTTATATATCACCAATACCTCGCTTGGATTGCCCACTTGTGAATATCCCCGCACTTTTCTTGGTGCCCCAATGTGAGGATTACCTTGCACATCCGGGCCTGACTTAGGGGACTTATGAAGGGATATGAAGCAATTACCAATAGTGACAAGGCCCCACAACCCCAGAAGGTTTCTTCAACCTTCGACTGAATTCTGAGAAGGCTTCTGAGATGGGCCCGACTATTTCCCTAGCCAGCAGGTTGAACACGGCGGAACAGCCAGGTCATTTGCTTCCCTCGCTAATTGGTGGTTTTGAAGCTCGGTGCTTAGGTGTTGTCTTGTTGGTTCCCATTTACCCTCTGCAAAAACCGGTTCAAATCCTCACACCCCTCCGACCCTCAAAGGACTCATGAATTGGATTCCAAAAGCCCAACAAAGTAGCATCTTTCTGTCTGAGTCACTAAACTGGTCTTCCCCAAAACTTGAAAGTCCAGGAACTCAGGGAGTGAGGTGGCTTGTCCCTGCTTTCATGAGTTGTATCCACCCCAACTGTTGCACAGTGGATGGTGGCATCACCCCAAAACTGGGAATCTTACCTTCAAAGGGCCTTCAAGATGCTTGAAAAGGGCTTCGAGGGCTCCCAGTTCTCTTTTATCCGCACCCCTCGAGATGAAGGTGAACCCAAACATACCCAAACCGGGGCGCATCAACATGTTAGGCGCGTTCACAAACAACTCCCAATTTGGGATCCTGGTGCCCTTGAACTCTCCAAATTGGGGTTGCACCCTATGGCCGTTGAACGCTGCGATGCGTTCCGGCAAAACAGGGTTGTCCCCTCATTTATTTCTCTCTGTGGCCTTGTAAACGCTGATTTCAGGAAGTCATGCCTAAGTTGTTACTGCCTTTGCAACGTGCCCATTGGAACGCCGCGTGTCACCAAAGCTGATTGGGTAACCATGTTTCATGCAACAACTCGAAACCCAATGGAAGACTTAACAGGCTTGGTTTCCAGAAAACCATTGGAACGCTTGTTGTATCGTTCCATCTACCACGCGGAAGCTGTTCCAAACCAGGTCATGTGACTGGTGCATGTCAAAGTCGCTGTTTCGGTGGCAGGATATCACGACATCTAAAACGAGATCAAAAACAAGATCTGCACCAGACCCGAGAAAAAAAGAACGACACAGCGAGAGAAGACACGAGCCCAGCCCACTGTTCACAGCTCAACCACCTTCTCAGTTGCCCAAAGACCTTGGAACTGAAAGGTCAACCTTTTGGACGGTCATGACTTAAATGGGACGGTCAAAACTTAAATTGGTCGATTCGCTTTGAGCAACTGAGCCAACGGTCGATTCGCTTTGAACCACTGAGCCTTCGAAGCCGGCAGCCGCAAAACCAAAAAAAAACATCACGCAACGACCCTTCGCGGCACCTGCACGGCAGCTCCATGGAATTCCAGCCCTCAAGAAAGCCTACTTCCAACAGCAGTGTTTATTAAAGCCGCCGAGTTGTGCGGAGCGGTCAGGTTTGGTCTGCCTCTTGGCTTCCTATTGTTTAAAGCCCAAAAGACGGGTACCCCCCCAGAAAAATGATGCCCACCAAAAGGACGACCCACATATATTAGACGGCACATTCAGAGACACACCTCGATAAGAACCTCCCGAAAATTCCCTGAGCTCCTGGCAGAGTGAGTTCCTGGAGCAAGTTGGTGCCAATAAGAAAACAAATAAAATAAACTTGAGTAAGTTTTGCTGGTGTTTGAGATGGTGTTTGAGTGTAATACTCAAGGAGTTTTGTTTGAGTGAAAAAGTTGGTCTTTGAGATTGTTCGCTCGTTTGCTGGGGTTTTGGTTGCTTGTTTGCCTGGCTTTGGTTGCTTTCCTGGCTGTTTGCCTGGCTTTGTTTGCATTGCTTGGCTTTGCTTGCTTGCTTGGTTGCATATTTGCTTGGTTCGTCGATAGGTTGCTTGTTTGTCTGATATGTTTGTTCGTCCGGTAGTTATTCCCTTGCACCACCACCAGCTGAGTTCCAACATCCTCAAGGAAATCTAGAACCATCGACACCTGAAAAAATGCTCCGATGAGTCCAGTCCAGGATTCCCAAAGAAAATGACCCACATACATGGCGATACACAAGCACGGCACTAAAATATGCACAGCCCCTCTTTCAGAAGCTCAGCTGAACATAAAACTCCTTCGCTTTCTTCGCTTTCTTGGGGTTCAACTTCGCAAGCAGGTTGTAACCATGTTCACTCTTCCACACTACTTCTGCTCTCTCTGACACCAAAGAAATGGATGTGTATCTTTTTGTTGACGGTAACTTTTTTTCGGTGGGTTGAATGGGACACCAAAAGCAAACCGAAACGAACCAATTGTTTGTTGGGGGGGGGGGCTGGGGGGGGTACTTTAGAGATAGACACACCCAAATTTCAATCAGATTTTGGGGGCATCAAATAGATTTCAATCAGGGGCCCGATTTTGGCGGACATCATTTATGTGGGGCACCTTAGCCACCACAAATCCAAACCACCAAACAAGGAGAAGCTGAGTTGGTGGACATCAGAATTTGGTGGGGCTTCAGTGTTCACCACTTTTGAGACTGCGACTCTTCAATACCACACCCCTGCCTTGCCTCGATTGGTCCTTCATTTGCCATTGGGCCTTTGGCTACAAGAAATTAAGCGCCAGACCGGAGGTGGGCTGCCATTTGGGCTGATTCCTTTTTTGAGCCACACCCATTTAGAGGTTGATCAAAAGCCACTCAAAAAACATCCCACTAAATAGGAAAAGTTGCCCACGGTCATTGGGAGCCAGGAATATTGATCAACCCCTATTTTGCCTTGGGAGGGTTCGGGGGGTAAGGCGTCCCTCAAGCGCTGGCTCTCTCTTGCGTCCTCGTCCCTGTCTAGCTTGGAGAAAGACTCGGCCTGTGAAAAACGACCAGCGAAGCAGCTTGGATCTCCGACAATTTGCTTTTTCGTCCCCAGGAAACAAAGAGAAACATATGTCCAGTAGTGAAATTGATTCCCTTGCAAACCGACAGGGGAAAAGCACAAACATATGCTTAAGGAAATGGAAGATCTGGTCAAGTGCGGGTGAACAATTTGTTGGTGTCCTTGGATTACTTTGGTTCTGTGTCCTTGTCTGGTTGTGTGTCCTTGTCTGGTTGGCATACATCCAATGATCAACAGAATCAAACAACGACAAAACCTTACCCCTAAGGAAGGGAAGAGCCGTGAGATATCCACCTCGAATCCAAGCAGAGAGTAGAGTAGTTGCCAGGAATTTCATAATATTAAGTTTCCCTATTGGCCCCAGAATTATTTGCTTTGCACGGAGGGCTCACTTTGTTCCGTGTAAGTCGGAGTGTCTCTCAATCGGAAGGTGACTGCTTTTTGGGAATCGGACCCCGCAGATGGATCTCGGTGCTGTTGGGTTTCCAAACAGAAGGAAACAACGGGTAGCCCCAACACCAAGAAACGCTCCTGTGAAAAGGCCCCTAAGATCGGCTTCTGGGTCAGGGAAGCTTTCGTTGTTTTTGCTTTTTGTTCTTCTTTTCTTTTTTCTTTTTTTCCGGAGGTGGCGTGGGGGACAAATGTGTTTCCCCTGGAACTACACACAAGAAAAAACAAACAGAAAATACCTCCAGCAGAGTGCATCCAAAACCGATTTGCGTAACTCTCCCCCTTTTGACATAGAACCCAGAAAATCATCCAGATCTCTACCTTGAGATGAAGGGGGGGGAGGGGGGGCCCCCAATTCCATTAATTATATAATTCAGTCTTACACGGAACCTATGAAGTTTTTCCAGGGCTCAAATCTCTTGCTTACAGGTTCAATTGGCTATGCCCCGTGTCCTCTCGAAATTGACGAGACGTGACTCGCGACCAGTATTCTCCCTTGCTCACCGGAACTTGAGTTACTCCAACCAAAATTGGCCTCAGCCTCGTACCAAACTCGGAATATGGGACCCTGGGGCCCTGCAAAATGTAACAGCTGGCTGGCGAAAAGAAAAGGATGAAAAACAATCCTAAGGCAAAAAAACATGTAAGTTAAGCCTCACAATGATTCGCAGGGGATCTTGGTGGTAGTTCATTGGCGTCGCCAATGAAGAGCCTGCAACATGGGCAAGCTGGATTTTAGGAAAGAAACCAACGGGTCCAACGTATACCCAGGAAACATGGCTCTAGGGATGTTGGTGTCCTTGGCAATTAAAAAGCCGGCGGGGCTTATTCCTCTGCTCCCAATGCCCGCTTTGCAAGCCAAGTTCCGCGTGGTAAAAAACCTTGGAGCTGACATCATACGCTGCCAAAAGTGGGTAGGGTGTGGGGGCTAGTTTCCCCTCATGATGTGTCGTTCGTGGCCAAAAATGCCTTCTTGCAGCGTAGGATTTGTGGCAGCCAGAATCCAACTTGACACCCTCAAAGGGACCTGATGGCCCACAAACAAGTGGTACGCATAAAATAATATTGTCTGATTCTGTGTCATATTCAACAGGCCCTGACATATATAACATAGCTTTGGAGAACCCCCCCCCAACAAAAAAAAACAGAGAGGAGTGCGCAATTAGTTGGGACTGGTTCAATTGAATATCCCGACCCGCCTTTTCCACCTTCCTCTCCTTTTCGCCTGCTCGATCCCAAGCCCCGCGCGTGCGTGTCCATGTTGAAATGGCTCGCTTCAACACACGTGTTCGATACTGGCGCATATGTTGTAAAGCTGAACATGTGTGTGTGTACTATGAAATGATAAAGGGGATTCCAGATCTGATCGCAAATGACTTGAACACATGCCAGCTTCCCCGAATAGCTAAGTAACCCTTGGGCGATTGATTCTGTGGGCCGGTTGGCAGCTGTTGGGCTAGTGGATTGAATGCATCGCCCAACAGCAGTGTTCATGACAGAAAGCTTCAACATGAGCAAGGCCTGAACCCGTTATGTGCGAACCCCGCAATGGTAGCGGGCCCCTGTCCCCTCCATATCCCCCCAAGCACCGAAGGAAGAGGTTGAAAGTGTTTGTAAGGGATGAACTGGGTACCCCAAAACTACAAGGGAAACTGGGTGGCTATATTTATATATACATATATATATATGTCATTGCACCTCTGGGGGTAGTGGTTAAGGTGTCGTGAAAACCATCTTCGAGCCAGACTGGATCGATACTAACCCCCGATTCTCTTCTGCGCCGTCGAAACTTATGGTGGTTCATGTGAAAGCAATGCTTGTCCGCCCATAAAGGGTGGGCTTTGTGTGGGTTTATGGTGGGCTCAGGGTAGGTATAGGGCTATTTGGCGGCAGGCTTAAGCTTGGTGTAGGGTAGGGTGTTTTTGGTTAAAAGCTTCGTGGGTGGCGCACTTACCCTCCATGAGAACCAGAGGTTCAAATCCACCTAGAGGGAAGGTGATGAAACATGAATACCTAGAACATATCATGTGTAAGATTCCCGCCATGTGTTTTTCCTCTTGTTTTTTCCTGAAGAAGCACACGTTTCCCCCCAAAAAAAACAAACAGAAAGGAGTAGTTTTTTACACACAATGGAGGTGCTAGGTATGCAAAACCAAGGAAACACCTCCAGCCACTCGCTCCGTCGCCCGTCCTGGGCCCTTGCTGGCATCCAGCATGTACCTCGCATGAGCAGATGAGCTCCTAGCTCCATTCAAACAATCAGCCTCCCTCTTGGTGGTTGGGACTTGGCGGATGCTGGTGGATTCGGGATTGAACTTAGCTCTTTTAAAGGGTACATGCGAAACCACCCAACCTCCACACCACCAAACCACCAATCCCAAACCACCAATTCGAGGCAAGCTGAAACTACAATGTTCCAAAGATTCCCAATTA